ACAGACTCCTGACCGCTATCTGATAATAACGACAACCTTATAGTTTAACTTTTCACTTTTTGAAGCGATAGGAATTTCAAAATGGTCGCCAGTAAAGGCAAAGTTTGTATCGTAAACAAATTCATCTTTTTTTTTTTTAGAATATTGAACACTTTATGCAATCAAGCTTAATTAAAGTTATTCACTAGCACCTCAGACTTGCACATACTAGAACTTTATTTATAATCAAGTCAAATGAGACCCAGTTGAATAGGGGAGCAATTCAAGCTCCCTGGATCCTCTAATTATGTTTGGCATTGCAGGTTCTGAATAAGATGAATTTTAAGCTTTTCCCAATAAAGACTATGTTAAACTTTGGACTCATAGTGCTCAGACCCACGGATCTCTGTACCTTCATTTGTACACACTTGAATCTTAATGAACTACTGAGGCTTGAAGCAAATTATAACTGTATTGCTATTGTTGGTTCTTAATGAGATTCTTCAAGCGTCCTCCCCATTGAAGCCCTATTAAAACTTTGTATCCCAAGTTCTTTTAACCACTGTTCCCCAGGACAACTATTCCTACAAACTTAGAGGGAGGTTTGGGATCCCGCTAACATGTTTAACCCCGCCACATTCTTAATATATGTGTCTGTCCCAAGTCTTTAATTTACATATTTGTTTTTCGTTTATTTTTGTACATAGAATAGGCCGCTAGTTTTTCTCGTTTGAATTGTATTACATTTGTCATTTCGGGGCCTTTTATAGCTGACTATGCGGTATGTGCTGTGATCATTGTTGAAGGCCGTACGGTGACCTATAATTGTTAATTTCTGTGTCATTTGGTTTCTAGTTGAGAGTTGCGTTTTTGAACAAACCAGCGTATCCCAAAGCCTTGATAACCTCTGTAGGCCCCAAATAAGACGAAAAAAAACATCAAAATTGGAGAGAAAACTGAAAAAAATTGTTTCTAACCTCAGGGATATTAACCCTTGGCATGCTGAATTGTTATCAGAAATTGTCTAAATTTCGAGTATTTGTAAAAATATGCAAATGATATGCAAATGAGCTGTACCCTGATGCTGATGCATACTGATTGCATTAAATCTAAGATAGCCAAGGGTTAATATCCCTGAGGTTAGAAACAATTTTTTTCAGTTTTCTCTCCAATTTTGATGTTTTTTTTCGTCTTCTTTGGGGCCTACAGAGGTTATCAAGGCCTTGGGATACGCTGGTTTGTTCAAAAACGCAACTCTCAACAAGAAACCAAATGACACAGAAATTTACAATTAAAGTCACCGTACGGCCTTCAACAATGATCACAGCCCATACCGCATAGTCAGCCATAAAAGGCCCCGAAATGACAAATGTAATACAATTCAAACAAGAAAAACTAGCGGCCTATTTTATGTACAAAAATAAACGAAAAACAAATATGTAAATTAAAGATTGGGACATACACATACATAAAGAATGTGGCGGGGTTAAACATGTTAGCGGAATCCTAACCCTCCCCTTAAGTTTGTAGGAATAGTTGCCCTGGGGAACAGTGGTTAAAAGAACTTGGGGTACAAAGTTTTAATAGGGCTTCAATGGGGAGGACGCTTGAAGAATCTCATTAAGAACCAACAATAGCAATGCAGTAATAATTTGCATCAAGCCTCAGTAGTTACTGTACATTAAGATTCAAGTGTGTACAAATGAAGGTACAGAGATCCGTGGGTCTGAGCACTATGAGTCCAAAGTTTAACATAGTCTTTATTGGGAAAAGCTTAAAATTCATCTTATTCAGAACCTGCAATTGAAATGCAGGACTTCATAATTTACACAAATATGTACATGCCAAACATAATTAGAGGCTCCAAGGAGCTTGAATTGCTCCCCTATTCAACTGGGTCTCATTTGACTTGATTATAAATAAAGTTCTAGTATGTGCAAGTCTGAGGTGCAAGTGAATAACTTTAATTAAGCTTGATTGCATATAGTGTTCATTATTCTAAAAAAAAAAAGATGAATTTGTTTCCGCTACAAACTTTGCCTTTACTGACAACCATTTTGAAATGCCTATCGCATCAAAAAGTGAAAAGTTAAACTATAAGGTTGCCGTTATTATCACATAGCGGTCAGGAGTCTGTAATTCAGTGGTTGTCATTTGTTTGCTGGGTTACATATTCGTTTTTCGGTCTTTGTTTGTACATTATTAAAACCGTTATTTTCATTCGTTTGAATTAAATGATTAAACAGCTGTCATGTCGGGAACTCTCCCTCTGGTATCTTTCGTCCCTCTTTTATAGCTGACTATGCGGGGGCTTTTCTCATTATTGAGGCCATTATGATGACCTATAGTTGTTAATTTCTGTGTCATTAAGTCTCTTGGCAATCATAATACATATTCTTTTATATATATATATATAGCGATGTCGTTATTACGACATAGCTATGTCGTTATTACGACATAGTGATGTCGTAATAACGACATGTTATGTCGAAATTACGACATAGCGATGTCGTTATAACGACATGTTATGTCGAAATTACGATATAGCGATGTCGTTATAACGACATGTTATGTCGAAATTACGACATGCTATGTCGTAATTACGACATAATTTTTTTTTTTTGAATGGCCCTTATCGGCTTCCGTATTGATCTGTGTTAACCTCTGTTGATGTAATTTATCACACAAATTCCTAAAAATTGATTCAACCTTAATCAAGAAATTACTGTCATTTGGAAGTATAGAACCCACTAGTTTTCTACAGTCAACAATTAATTGGCTTAGTGTTTCCCTATTTTGAAAATTAGTTTTCCATTGATCAATCCCTATTTCATTGATTACAGCCTGTTTTAATGGGGCATAAAAAGTCCTTCGGACCCCTTCCAGAGATGGACACCTAGTTAGAAAATGTTGAAGGTTTTCTTCCTCAAGCTTGCATAGCGGGCAAATTGGGTCTGTACTTCCTATATTAAATTTAGCTTTAGTTGCTTGTAAGAGGTAGGTCCCAGTTAGTATTCTAGCTTTTGTTATGGCTTTTTTTGTATCCCCTGGAATTTCTATTGCTGTTTTCCAGACTGGATGTATTTTCCCTATATTGATAGTGTCAGTACAGAGTCGGATCAGAGTTGATTTTTCTTTGCTTAAAGATCTAAATTTATTGCTCCAAAATGTATTAATAGCATATCTGACAGTTTGTTTCCATTTTATTTTTGTTGGAAGAATTGCTAGAAGCTCTTCAATGCTTGGTAGGCTATATTGAAGCAAGACATTTTCTGTTCTGTGTAGAAAAGTTCCATTGCAAATCTCAAGTCGGTACTGGCGCAACAAGATATCCCTTAGATTTTGATTATCTGACGCAAAGATTGAGTGCAGAAGGCTTAATTGTCTTTTGTGAAGCTCGGCCTCTATAGGGAGGGCACCTAGTAGTGAGTATACTGCAACTGAAGCTGTTCTTGTGGGTAGAGCCTGGATATTTTTTAAGCCTGAAGGATAAGTGGAAGTCACCCAAGGCGTTGATCTGGCCGGTGGTAAGAGGTAAAACTTCGAGACTGTAGAGTAGGCGGGGTCATATGTAAATTCTATAAATATTATAGGAAATCCTTGGATTCAAGCCATTTGTGCCGTGTAGCACCTGTTGACATCAGTGAATAGGATGTTCTTCGGACTAGATTAATGCGGTCTTTTACATTTATTATATTTTCATTTTTAGATGATCTTAAAATACCAAGATGTGAGGCCTTATCTGTCTCTGAAACGGACCTGTCCCCAAGAGACCAAGAACATATGGATGTTTTCCTGGAGTTTGTGGAATTTTCATTTTGTTTAATGAGAACGCTCTTTTCAGGGTGGATATTATATTGGTGTTCTTTCGAATATGTATCTACTACGTTGAGCATGACTTGCATTTCTTCATCCGAGTTAGATCTATAAGAGTAGGATATCATCTACACACGTAGGACATCCTGCATAATTAGTGCCTAGATATAAACCAATAGTTGAGTCTTCTAACTGTCTTAAGAGGTCTTCAATATATATTTTATAAAGATGGGTGGACAGGATACCACCTTGACGGACTCCCTGTTGTACTGGAAAGCTATTACTATGTTGGCCTTTCCAATTAACCCTTATTTTTTGAAGTAAGGTCATTGTACATTTCGTATATAGTTTCCCAAATTTCAGGTGGAATGTCTTTTTGAAAGAGTTTATCAAGAAGGATGCTGTGTTTGACCACGTCAAAAGCTTTTTGAGTATCTAATGCTGTTAAGAAGAGAATTTCCTTCATCCTTTTTGCATTCATATGTGCCTCAGATATCAGTAGAGCAGCCATGGTGGGGGAGAGACCAGAGGTAAAACCAAACTGTTGTGATGATACATTTGAGATTGGATCTATAATTTTTTCCAGGAGTGCATGTTCAAATAGTTTTCCTAGAACAGAGGAAACTGTTATACTTCGATAGCTATCCATTAATTTGCCGTCTTTTCCCTTTTTACAAATTGGTGTTATTATGCCAGATTTAAATTGTTCTGGGGTTTTTCTATCAACTAATATTTGATTAAAAAGATTCTGAATATATGGGATGATTACTTCATCAGCTAATTTCAACTTGATGCTCTGCAAATAGGCCGATGATATTCATCTCCAGCTTTTCCTGAATTAAGATTTTGAATAGATTGAAAAATTCTTCCTCTGTAAAATTAATTTTAGTTTCAAGATTATTTTCTGTGAGTTCCTAATTATATCGCAGCGGAGCTGGCACATATGGAGATATTCCTCATTATAACTTGTAGTTTTTTGGCGTGGCTAGATTTTTATAATATTCGGCCAGAACTTCTCTTTGTGTCATCTGGGCAAGTAATGTCTTTTTCTTCATGACGAATGACCTGAGTTATAGAATTTTTGTTATTGCCTAAATTTCTTTTTATTAGTTGAAAGAAGGTTTTTGATGAACTATCTAAACAAAAATAACAAGTACCGCCCGGTGTTGATTTTATGTTTATAGTTTATAATTGGTTCACTACTTCCGGCTTTTTTTATTCTAACTGGAATCCGCTTTGTGTTGTATGAACAGAGTGTAGTCAGTCGAGAACCAGCTTAATTTTTGCATCGATTGAAAAGTTTTGAACTGTTGAAAGGTAGAAGGAACAATGAGCGGGGGTCTGGTGCCCAGTAAAAGTACGATATACGTTGGCAACCTTCCCTTTTCACTGACAAACAACGATATACACAAAATATTTGAAAAATATGGACGTGTTGCAAAGTGAGTTATAACTGAGAATTTACTGTAACACTCTCATGTTATAATAACTTTCTGAAAAATTATGTCAGAACTAAAAATCAAGATCAAGGTTCCCCTCTGTTTATCAGGTTCAGTGCATCTACACAGTTGGAAAGCAGGTCACGGTTTGACCCCAAGTCTATCAGCATCAATACTGTCAATAGAGGTCACGTGACCGTTAAAATTCAGTAAAACCACGATGAGACAAACCTCATTTTTACTCACTAAAATACCACTGTCGTGATAAAAACTTATTGATCTAAATAATCTTGAATATACATAATTTTAACTCGTCAAAACTTATGCATCAATTCAAAGTCCTTTATTCTTAATTTTATCTTCAAACTTGAAGTTATTGTGAAAATTGTCAAGTCTCCTGAACGAAAAATCTAAATATTTTTGAGGAAACTAAAAATAATGGGCTGAATTAAAATTTAATAAAGCATCTCATTAAGACAAACACTCGATATGAATATCTAGGCAATAGAATTTTGGATACGCAAACGTCAGGTTATTTTCAACACGAAGCCAAGGATTTGTATAGTGATTACTGCTTCATTTTAAAAAATAAAATTACAACAACTTTATGACTATCACTATACAAATCCCTGACGAATCGGTAGTTTTTTTTGCCGATTTGTGCAAGTGGTTATCTCCCTTTGATATCACCAGTCAAAAATAAAAACCCAACAAAATGAATAAAAAGGAGTTTACTTTACAAAAATCAGGAAGAAAATAAATAAAATTCGATTTACAACTATGTTATTATATTATTAAGAAGAGATACTTCCCTACTTTTCAGAGAAGGATAAGATGTAAAAATTAAAAGACAAAATAATTAATATGAGTGAAAATTAAGAAATGTAAACCTATACATTTTTGATTCAGCCATGCTGGATCTAAGCGATCAATCTGTTTTTGGATATGGTGCAGAATACTAAGTTGAAAACATATCTTGAAACTTATTATGTGTTTTTATGACTTGCAGAAACTTTCTACACCATTTTAATCATCATGTGCCAACTTTTGACATGTTATTTGCCCTTAAATTAAGAAAAGAATGGTCGAACAACCCTTTTATTTTAGATATACACTTGCATATAGTTCCTTTGTAAATCAAAATTTATAATGATTAACTATTTAGGAATTAATTTGAACAAGTATTTATACATCAATTGAATCAGTTGATAAGAATTTGAAAAGTATCATATTAGTATCTTATGCTTGTGTAAATTATTGTTCAATGAAATTTAGGTTAACATGTGTATTAATATATCTAAGTTGATTCCCACACTTTTTTGAATTTGTATTACTCCAATTCTTTCCATAGGCAAGTAAGGGTCAGTATGATTATCAACTGTCATGATTTTCAAATAATTATACTCAAAGTAGTAATATTAATTGGAAACAACCCCAGTCTTAATTCAGTTAATATCTCTTGACCTGTTACATAATTAAATAGACACAATTTATTACACACCTAACTGAATACACACATTCTTGACCTCAATAGTAAACCTACAAATGTATTATTTATTTTTATCTACACTACATTAAAATTTTCTGTTAATTTTGCTAGCTAATCAGATGTGGTTTTTTTTCAAAGAAAAGACAAACATTGTAAAAAATATGTATAAAAAATGCAAGCAAATTTTATTTCACTTGTAAAAACAGTGTCATTATCTTCTGACATATAAGTCAATAATCAAGTTCTAATTAATTAGTTACAATTATCAGAAATTTGGTTGAATCAATAAACAAAATTGCATAACTCTGACCTGAGCATTTTCTGCAATAAAATTTATTTGTTTGTTCTACATTTATATCCCATTATATTGCTATTTGACAGTAATTGGAAATATCTCAGGATTAGTTATTTGTACAGTTAAATTTGAATACAGGAAATGTATTTTTTCTTAGTGAAGAATGGACACCAATTTAGATAAAAAATAGTTATTTTTTTTAATTTTAGTTGTTGAGAAAGTGCATTTCCAAGGCCTCTTTCTGGAAATTATTAAGTCAGTTACTATAAATGGCATATTAAAAATATATATGACTTGTTTGTTCCTGTCAACATGGTCAATACCATTAGATTGCAAATATTTATAATAAAAAAATCTGACAGAGTCTTAAATATCTATCAATATATCTATCAATATTTGCTTCAATATTGAGAAATTCCCTCCCTTTGGACAATAACATAGAAATTTTACAGTAAGATTGGAAATGAAAAGAGAAAAAAATGTTGAAAAAAAGTATGGTCAGAATGAATATCTGACTAGCATTGAATATGGCTGGATCACAACATCGACGATGCTTTGATTGTTTAGCTATATCGATATAAATCAGCTCTGGCTGATGTAATTTTTATACGACCGCAAAAAAATTTTGCGGTCGTATATTGGTATGACGTTGGCGTCGTCGTCCGAAGACACATTGGTTTTCGCACTCTAACTTTAGTTTAAGTGAATGGAGGTTAGAAACAATTTTTTTCAGTTTTCTCTCCAATTTTGATGTTTTTTTTCGTCTTCTTTGGGGCCTACAGAGGTTATCAAGGCCTTGGGATACGCTGGTTTGTTCAAAAACGCAACTCTCAACAAGAAACCAAATGACACAGAAATTTACAATTAAAGTCACCGTACGGCCTTCAACAATGATCACAGCCCATACCGCATAGTCAGCCATAAAAGGCCCCGAAATGACAAATGTAATACAATTCAAACAAGAAAAACTAGCGGCCTATTTTATGTACAAAAATAAACGAAAAACAAATATGTAAATTAAAGATTGGGACATACACATACATAAAGAATGTGGCGGGGTTAAACATGTTAGCGGAATCCTAACCCTCCCCTTAAGTTTGTAGGAATAGTTGCCCTGGGGAACAGTGGTTAAAAGAACTTGGGGTACAAAGTTTTAATAGGGCTTCAATGGGGAGGACGCTTGAAGAATCTCATTAAGAACCAACAATAGCAATGCAGTAATAATTTGCATCAAGCCTCAGTAGTTACTGTACATTAAGATTCAAGTGTGTACAAATGAAGGTACAGAGATCCGTGGGTCTGAGCACTATGAGTCCAAAGTTTAACATAGTCTTTATTGGGAAAAGCTTAAAATTCATCTTATTCAGAACCTGCAATTGAAATGCAGGACTTCATAATTTACACAAATATGTACATGCCAAACATAATTAGAGGCTCCAAGGAGCTTGAATTGCTCCCCTATTCAACTGGGTCTCATTTGACTTGATTATAAATAAAGTTCTAGTATGTGCAAGTCTGAGGTGCAAGTGAATAACTTTAATTAAGCTTGATTGCATATAGTGTTCATTATTCTAAAAAAAAAAAGATGAATTTGTTTCCGCTACAAACTTTGCCTTTACTGACAACCATTTTGAAATGCCTATCGCATCAAAAAGTGAAAAGTTAAACTATAAGGTTGCCGTTATTATCACATAGCGGTCAGGAGTCTGTAATTCAGTGGTTGTCATTTGTTTGCTGGGTTACATATTCGTTTTTCGGTCTTTGTTTGTACATTATTAAAACCGTTATTTTCATTCGTTTGAATTAAATGATTAAACAGCTGTCATGTCGGGAACTCTCCCTCTGGTATCTTTCGTCCCTCTTTTATAGCTGACTATGCGGGGGCTTTTCTCATTATTGAGGCCATTATGATGACCTATAGTTGTTAATTTCTGTGTCATTAAGTCTCTTGGCAATCATAATACATATTCTTTTATATATATATATATAGCGATGTCGTTATTACGACATAGCTATGTCGTTATTACGACATAGTGATGTCGTAATAACGACATGTTATGTCGAAATTACGACATAGCGATGTCGTTATAACGACATGTTATGTCGAAATTACGATATAGCGATGTCGTTATAACGACATGTTATGTCGAAATTACGACATGCTATGTCGTAATTACGACATAATTTTTTTTTTTTGAATGGCCCTTATCGGCTTCCGTATTGATCTGTGTTAACCTCTGTTGATGTAATTTATCACACAAATTCCTAAAAATTGATTCAACCTTAATCAAGAAATTACTGTCATTTGGAAGTATAGAACCCACTAGTTTTCTACAGTCAACAATTAATTGGCTTAGTGTTTCCCTATTTTGAAAATTAGTTTTCCATTGATCAATCCCTATTTCATTGATTACAGCCTGTTTTAATGGGGCATAAAAAGTCCTTCGGACCCCTTCCAGAGATGGACACCTAGTTAGAAAATGTTGAAGGTTTTCTTCCTCAAGCTTGCATAGCGGGCAAATTGGGTCTGTACTTCCTATATTAAATTTAGCTTTAGTTGCTTGTAAGAGGTAGGTCCCAGTTAGTATTCTAGCTTTTGTTATGGCTTTTTTTGTATCCCCTGGAATTTCTATTGCTGTTTTCCAGACTGGATGTATTTTCCCTATATTGATAGTGTCAGTACAGAGTCGGATCAGAGTTGATTTTTCTTTGCTTAAAGATCTAAATTTATTGCTCCAAAATGTATTAATAGCATATCTGACAGTTTGTTTCCATTTTATTTTTGTTGGAAGAATTGCTAGAAGCTCTTCAATGCTTGGTAGGCTATATTGAAGCAAGACATTTTCTGTTCTGTGTAGAAAAGTTCCATTGCAAATCTCAAGTCGGTACTGGCGCAACAAGATATCCCTTAGATTTTGATTATCTGACGCAAAGATTGAGTGCAGAAGGCTTAATTGTCTTTTGTGAAGCTCGGCCTCTATAGGGAGGGCACCTAGTAGTGAGTATACTGCAACTGAAGCTGTTCTTGTGGGTAGAGCCTGGATATTTTTTAAGCCTGAAGGATAAGTGGAAGTCACCCAAGGCGTTGATCTGGCCGGTGGTAAGAGGTAAAACTTCGAGACTGTAGAGTAGGCGGGGTCATATGTAAATTCTATAAATATTATAGGAAATCCTTGGATTCAAGCCATTTGTGCCGTGTAGCACCTGTTGACATCAGTG